TGATCCGAAGCATTTAAGGATTACGTTGGTGGTATGTATATGCAGTACGTGTTTGACCCATCATGGGGTATAGAAAATGATTAATTACACTTCAGTTTTTTTTTGGTTTTTTTTACCTCTGCCAAGGAGGACAGGATAGCTGGAAATACTATAAATGGATTTTAATTAAATTTCTATCATAGATGTCCTTCATGCCAAGGAACAATCTGTTATTGTTGCGATGATCCAGATCATATTTTGGATACATGCAGTTTTTGAAAGATTCTCTTTGTGGGATGGGGAATTTGGCTGAACAAGCAGTTCTCCACTAAACCAGAGGGTGGCAGCAGTGACTCTTGAAAGCTTCAGCATCGGACTCAGAAAAAAAAACCCAGCGATATTTTACTGAAGACAAAAACACAAGAAATGGGAATTTTGTTAGGAGAATCGATTGAAAACTTATGAACCACTATATGGAGAAAAAAATTTACCAGAGGTGCCCCTCATGCCAAGGAACAATTCATTTAAATTAGGTAATGATCCATATTATGTGTGAGTTTTAGCTTTGGGTTCTACGTCATAATTGGGGGCAATATTTGCTGCTTGGCGTAACTCTGCGCCCTCCGAGTGCTTTTCTAGTGTTTCCCATAAGATTGGAAAAAGAAAATAAGAGTTTAGTATTTATATTTCCAGACCTTTTCGACTTAAAGTATATATTAATTGTATCCTTTACTTTTATTGTTCCTGCTTATGTTTCTTGCCAATTTCTTTAGCCATATGTCTGTCCTTCCTTCCTTATTTCCCTCGGTCCTCATTTCCTTCCTTCCTCATTTCCTTCCTGTACTACTTTATTATGTCTGGCTTCCTTCCTTCCTTCCTTCCTTCCTTCCTTCCTTCCTTCCTTCCTGCAGCCCAGCGACCAGCAAAAATCATCCTTCCTTCTTTGCTTCCTTTCATTATGTCTGGTGTTCCTTCCTTGACTTTCTGCTGCACTCTTTCTTTGTCCCCTTTTCTTTCCTTCCATCAGTCCTTCTTTCCTGTCTTCTCTCCTTGTTTTCCTTCTTTATGACTTTCCTTCCTTCCTTCCTTCCTACTTGCTTTGAGGAATACTGAGTCTCAATATCCTTATGTAGGAACCATATAAATGTTAGCAGTTAAAGCATTGGGTTATATTTTCATATATTATCACATAGATGTTGCATCTATAGATGTCTTATGGAACCAATAATGGAAATATTGCTCAAAGAAAAAGTACTAATCTCAGCCAAACTATCAGTATTTGAAGTTTGGGAGATCATCAATCAGCATGTATCATGATAAATCCCCAAAATATTATCCCTTTAAAAACAGTAAACAAGAGAATAATGCTCCATCTGTAGAAACAGTTTTGTTTTAGTTTAAGATGTGTTGAAGGATTGTTAACATAGTTTGCTGGCTCCTGCGATGTAACCCATAGAAAACCCCATATTATGTATAATAACCACATTAAAAATGCACCTAATGGGTTGTTCTGGCTCTATGGACTCACTGCAGATGTTCCTTGTGCTCTGTGCCTTTTAATTAGATTCTCTGTGGCTGGCAGCCTTTAAACCCGTCGCAGGCGTAGTTTGATGTGCGTAGCATCTGTCCATGCAAAGTTTGCACACTAATCCAACAGAATTTTCTTACAAATGTGTAGCTTGGATTGTGAAGGTACTTCTTCCTTGTCAGCAACAATGCAGTTAGATTGAGGGGAAATATGACTCATTTGATCTAAAAGAAACAGAAAAAACCTCCTTTTTTGAGAAGGAATGACATGAGACTTCTGACTAAAACAGATGCTTCTTAAATATCCTGTTAAAGAGTTAAAAATCACTGAGCTCTACAGGACGTCTGCACTGATGTAAACAACTTAAACTCTACTTTGAAATGGTACATCATGCTAAATAATAGGGTGTCACACTCTCGGTCAGTGTGGCTGCTGAAACAAGCCTCTGATCCCCTCTGCTGTGCGCAGATCAAACCTCAGGGTGGAATCCTTGAGAGCTTGGTGATGTCATTCATAGGTCGCTCTTTACACGCTGTATCCTGAACCATTGGGAACCTTAAATGACGAGTCACCCTGCCGTACGTTGGTTAATTACGAGCTCATTTTTGTGCCACCACTTCAAACCCCAGTAACTCCAAGGTCCCTTCAGGAGGCAGCAGAGAGGCATGTCAGGGCTTCATGTGGAGAAAACCCTCTAATCCATCACAGCGCTCCCCTCCTGTGCTCATTACAGTTTCCCTTTGACAATATGAATTTCTTCTTCATGAAGGCTTCTTATTAATTCCCTAACATCCCATTTAGGAGAACATTTTACTGAAATGAAAAGCAGAACTTAAAGATCACTTAATTTTAGGTATGCAGTGAATTTGTGTGCCCTTTGCTTCTGCTGCTCTGTGCCGCGATTGTGTAAATTAGAGCGGCTGCACCTCAGCAGCCATCATGTGTGATGTTTTAGGCGCCTTTTGGGAGTGTGCTCCAGAAAACCGCTTCCCAGGGCTGGATGTGCACATAGATTTGCAGGCTGCTGTTGCTGTCAGCCGCTGATGTGCACCCCCATGGAGAGAAAAGGGGAAGGTTAATGTTAGATATAAGACGGAGTCTACAATCCTGCTCATGATGAAAAGTGATGCTTTTTAAAAGCCAGGCCATCACTGTGGGTTTTAATGGACTTATTGAGTAGAGCTGTTTGCTTTCTGGTGCCGCTTGGTCCCACATGGGGAATAGTCTGCTGCGAGGGATGTATGCAAGCATTTCTGCTTTCTGAGGACAACTTAAATGAGATTAAGCACATTTCAGTAGATGTGCAGCATTATAACCATTGATGGGATGGATGGTGGCAGCGCTTCCATTCCTCCTGGCTATTTATTCCAGGTCAGTACAGGTGAAGCTCAGCTCTGTCTGTCTTGTCAGAAACCGAGTGTAAGGCAGTACAATACATGGCAACTATATTGTAATTTCCGTGTGTGCAACATTCATATTGCAAACGACTGTTCGGGGTGCAGACAGTCAAGTATTTATCCAGTTGGGAAAGGTCTCAGTGCAGCAGATGCTCGGTAGACGCTAATGACCTTTTTGCAAAATGCTGAAGGTCACAGAGCGATGGAAGCACAGATGAAAGAACGGCTCTATCACACGATATCGACATCAATATGTCAATATTTGAGAGTATTTCTAAAAAAAAAAAATTAAAAAAATGCAGCTCTGACTAAAAATATTATTTTTTTTCAGTTATTTTTTGACTAGTTTAAGTTAGTCTTCCGTCTCAGTGAGGAAGGAGCTCTTATTCTGAAACCAGAGTTAAGCTGTTATTTAATTTCCTTTGGTGTTATGATTCTTTTAATAAAGTTTTGCACAGTTACATTAATTATTACATTAGAGGAAAAAAGGAAAGTTTGTAAATCTGAGAACATCCTCAGAGTATAAAGGGTGGCAGCTTCACGTTAGGGGTGTTTTGCTTTTCTTTCAAAACTTGATGGTATACTGGGAGAAAGAATATTAAGGAAGTTAAATCTGGAATCAAATGTGCCTTCCAATTGGACTATAATCCTAATTTTGCAGCCTAACCTATTACAACAAAAGTTGAGGTTCTGCAGCAACTAATGCAAAGTCCTGATCTGACTCGCATAGAAAATGAGTGGGCTGAGCTTTGCAAGAGCAAGGCGGCCTACCTAGTGACTCAAAGCTCAACAAGATAAAGTCCGGCTCTGTTCTAGGAAGTCATCTAGAACCTCTGAAGATGGAAACAAAAATAAGAATTCTTCCTGTTCAGAAGATTGTTAAACAACCACAAAGTGTCTTCAGTCAGAGGCTTCTCCAGAACTGGTGCAAAACAAACCTCTACAGAAGATCCATCCTACCTACAGTTATTAACATGTATAACATCTCGTTGAAAAAATGTCCAAGAGTTACTATATTTAATCTTTCTTTGGGATTAATCAAGTATTTTTTAGATTAATGTACAACAGTTCTGTCAGGAGGAGAGGGAAAAATTACTCTAGTGAAATGAGGAAACACTAATCTTAGAACAAGAAAAGTCATTTTTAAATTAAAGTTTTTGGTCAAATTTCTGGTCATCCAAACTGAATAAAGCAAAACTTTTTTTTTTTAGGCGATTGACAGACAATAGAAATTGGAAATTTTAAAAACAGGCATTGTTTTTATAGTGTTTGTTTGTAACGTAGCTTTATTTATTTTATCAATAGCTGGCCTTCTGGTTAGATTTAGAGCATCACTTTGAATCTAAAATATGGGATCCAACTTCCCAGACTGTTCAAAGCAGCACTAAGGCACCGGAAGTGTTCTGTTTTAAGATAAGATTGTCCCTGAGGAGCAACACTGCTGGCCCATAAAAGACGAGAGTGTCTGGAACCCAGAACTTGCCAAGTTTCTATTTTAGTTTGAAGCAGCTCTGGCCAGTCTCGTCTTTCAAACCAATGCGTTAAACAAGTGATTAGAAAGCACTCTTTTCTGGGTTGGCATAGATGCGCCTGACTCAGTCAGTTGTATATAACCTGAATGGATGTCTGATGGGTTAATTCAGCCCAAATGGATCGCTCTTAGATTTACTGTCACTATGAATGCCAGTGTTGGCTGCATCTGCAGCCCATAGTTTTTTGGTTGTTGCTTTTTTTTTATCCACTGAGCAGCGAGTACATAATTCCTCAAGCCTTCTGTGGCTTTTTAAAGCAGTTTAGATTTATGCAGACCAGTGCGTCCACGTTTGCTTAGTGTTTGTGAGCCGGCGGCGGCTGTGTTTACTTAACACGGTGAAAGGAAGGCAGCTTGAGACTGAAACACATCAAGGTATCAAAGCATTTCTGTGGGTTGGTGTGTTGCAGGGTGAAGCCACTGCCTGCTGCTCTGGTATGTGCTCTGATTTAGGAAACACAGCATGGAAGGATGTGGTGCTACTAGAAAGAGACTATGGGTCAGTGAATAATGGTCAGAACTACTGATGGTATGGTAGCAGTGCTGGATGCTCTAATGCGGTTTGTTTCTTCTGCTAACATTTGGTAAACCTAAGTGGGGTTTTTTTGTAGCACTTTTTGGTGAAAATTTATGTATTTTAGACCGTAAATGGAACTGGACTGAATAACAAGATGTTTAATGCTTCTTTGGTGTTTTCCCCCTCTAGGATGTGAGGACATTGTTGTGGAAAGCTTATCCCTGGACTCCCTGGTGCCCATCCTGAAGTGGAGCTCCCAGCCGTATGGCTCCAAGTGGGTCCACAGGCAGGCCATGCACTTCCTCTGTGAAGAGTTCAGTCAGGTCGTCACCTCTGACGTCCTCTATGAGCTCGGCAAAGAACACCTCATCAGCGCCATTCAGTCTGACTACCTTCAGGTAAAGATTCTCACCCTTCGGTTTGTTTCCAGCTCCAGAAGCACAAACTTTCTCTGTTGTTCAGAAAGTGCTGGGTTTTTTTTTCCTCACTAATCACAAGTTGAGACTCTGGAGTCTGAGTCATCATCACCTCAGAGCAAGCTGAACACCAGACCAGATGGTTTGAAGAAACATGTTATGATGCAGTGAAGCAGACTGAAGCTTTACTGGGACAATGATTCATAGTGAAATATTTACTAAGTCTAACCAGGTTTTTTAATCATGTTTTGTCCTTTTTTTCCCCCCTGCAATCTTCTCTCCCCATTTTTTTCCCATCCTTCATCTTTCTTTCTTTTCTCTCCTTGACCTGCATACTTCTTCCCGCCTTATATCCTTTCCTCTCCAACACACCCCCTCTCTCGATATTTTTTTACTCTGTCCCAAATGCTTTGCTCTTTATTTTGCATCCTTCCCTCCCTGCCCCTCAACCTCTCCTCTATGACCTGCATCCTTTCTCCCTTTCCTGCATCTTTGCTTCCTTTCCTCCATCCCCTTCCTATCCATGGTTGTCTTCACAGGCGAGTGAACAGGACATTCTGAAGTATGTTGTAAAGTGGGGCGAGCAGCAGTTGATTAAGAGGATGGCAGACAGGGGTAAGATAATACACTCTATAATTACCCTCTCAACAGCCCCCCCTAATTGCTCTGAGGAAATTGCCCACTTATTGAAGACCCCCAAAATACACTTAATGGCTGGGGAAAAAAAGCTCTCAAATGAAGTCTGTATGAAGTGGCCTACTATTTATTGGCTGTGTCACTGAGCTCTAACCTTATGATAAATGAGTTTATGTCACCTTAACGCTCCTTGGCTTTATTATGAATTTTAAAGAACAAGTAGCAGCTACAGAAAAATGATGCATTTTGCTGGGAAAGCAATATTTATGCAGATATGATCTGATACATTGTTGAAGTTCATGAACTTGATGGCATGAAATCAGTTTAAATGGTAAAAAAAAACTGTTCATATATTTACCAACAACAAAAAAATACGTTGATGTTTTTGCTAACCAAGAGCCCAACCTGCTGAGCGGCACGGCCCACAGCGTCAATAAGAGAGGCGTCAAAAGGCGAGACCTGGACGTGGAGGAGCTGAGGGAGATCCTCTCTCCACTCCTGCCCTTCATCCGAACCGAGCACATCCTGCCTCCCAACAGTGATGTCCTCGCCGACGCCGTCAGTACCCCCTTCTGTCTGAGTTTGTTTTTTAAGACACTGTAAGTTTCACTGCTTGATCTTTATGTTGTTGTCCACAGCTGAAGAGGGGTTTGATCAGCACCCCTCCGTCAGACATGTTGCCCACCGCTGAAGGGGGCAAGGCTAACTCCTGGCTACGGCAGAAAAACGCAGGGATCTATGTGCGTCCTCGTCTCTTCTCTCCATACGTGGAGGAAGCCAAGGTGAGGCTGGGCTCGCTCACATAACTGCAGTGCAAGTCTGACTACAGCCAGATCTGGAGAAGAAGAAACAATTAAAATTGTAGCTTCATAACAACATGAAGTAGGCTAAAAGAAACCTGCAAGTCCCCTATTTAAAGGTAAAGAAAAACTATTAGAAAGATGTCTGTGAATTTGTTTCCGTGTGGAAAGAGTTTGAAATCCAGTGGATAAAACTTAGAACAGTAGTGAGCCTTCCTAAAAGAGGGTGCCTACAAAAAGACTTTAAAAGGTCATTATGGGCTCCTTGAAGTGTCAGAAGAACCCAAGACATCATGCTGCTCTGAAGGCCTCACTGCTTCAGCAAGAAAGATATTGCAGCATCAGTCAGAAAATTTCAGTGACAAAACCACTGCTGACCAAAGAGGAACACAAAAACTTGTCCGCAAAGCATCTTTAGTCAATGAGGACTGATTAGATAAAAGTGCAGCTTCTGCTTTAAGAGTGTAACATTATTTTTGTGAAAGGAAATCATAATGAGAGTCAAATAAGGTGGGGGTCTGGGGCAGTTTTGATGCCTTAGGACCTGAGCAAGTGGAGTCGACATGGACTCTGCTGCCTAGTGGAAGATCTATTGGAAGAAGTTGTTTGGTCTTTCGTTTGTTCCATTAAATGCAACTGCATTTCAGTTCACCACTAATTTCCCATCTAAATGGCTCAGAAAGACATCATTGCTTTAAAGTGGCCAAGTCAGAGTTTTGACCTAAATCCTTTTGTGATCCAAACATGCAGTAATGCTGGATTAGAACCCTTTTACAGCCATGTGAAGACCAGTTACCTTATCTGCTAAAGGCTGCTACAGGGACAATAGATTCATTTGAAACATTTCAATGTGACAAAAATAGGAAAGGCTGACAAAATCATTAAGGGAGCAAATACTTTCTCACAAAATTGTTTAATTAGTCTTTTAATAGGAGGCTTCTAATATCTGGATGGAAATGAATTTCCATCCAGATATTACGAAATTCATTTAGTCCATTTGCAAATTTCATTTAGGCGACAGTGGCGTTGGATGTAGGAGTTTGCCCTGAAATCGAGCCCTGGCTCCGACTTTCAGTGTCGTCGTGTCCTTGGGCAAGGCGCTTCACCTGCATTGTCTACTGATGGTGGTCAGAGGGCCCGGTAGCTGCAGTGTACGGCAGCCCCGCTTCTGTCAGTGAGCCCCAGGGCAGCTGGGGCTACAGTGTAGTTTACCACCATCAGTGTGTGAGTGTGTGAATGACTGAATGCAGTGTAAAGCGCTTTGGTCAAGTCTCCTGACTTGAAAAAAGGCGCTATATAAGTACAGGCCATTTACCATTTAAACGTGTCTGGTTCCATGGTGTATGAATATTAATGAACATGCCTGCTGAGCAGCAAAAGGCGGCGTTAACCCGGTAGTCAGTCACGTGGAACAGATCGGTAAAATCTTTACCGGCTGCCTGACTGGCTCAATTATTTTGACAATTTTTTTTTTTTTATCCGCCCTCAGTCTGTGCTGGATGAAATGATGGTGGAGCAGACAGACCTGGTACGTTTGAGACTGGTGCGCATGTCAAACGTCCCGGACACTCTCTACATGGTCAACAACGCCGTGCCTCAGTGCTGTCACATGATCAGCCACCAGCAAATGGCAGGAAGCTCCAGTTCGGCTCCGTCGGTCGTAGCCAATGAAATTCCAGGTAGGACGATGTTGAAATGAACTTTTAACATCTGCAAAGTAGGCAGTAAACAGTTGAATCAGTAAACTCTTTGCTTCTTCCAGTGCCTCCTCTGTCTGTGGTGAAGGATATGATCCGCAGGCTGCATGAGCTGAGGCACACAGAGCAGGTCCAGAGAGCTTACGCTCTGAACTGTGGAGAGGGAGCCACGGTGAGCTATGAGCTGCAGCTGAGGGTGCTGAGGGAGTTCGGCCTGGCAGATGGAGCCACGGAGCTGCTGCAGGTAAAGGAACCCACTGAAGCCTAAGATGCAAACACACTGAGGCTTAAAGGGAATGTTAGACTCTCCCAGAGGAAAACTTAACTGCTCTCATAAAACATCCATCGACTCTTCGCTGTTCTTTGCTTTCAGAATCCATCCAAGTTCTTCCCAGATGAGAGGTTTGGAGACGAAAGTCCAATTCTGGCCCTTCGCCAGGTGAGCCGCTGTCGTGTGAACAGCAGCCCGGCTATGGACAGCATGATAACAGAGCTAGACGGCGTCCCAGGCCTTCACCCTCCGCTGCCTCCTCCACCCCCTCCCTATCACCCCCCCGCCACGCCCAGTCACACCCAGCTCAAAGGAGGCTGGAGACCTCGGGTTCCCATGCCCACCCCCACCCGCTCCTTCTCCTACCCCTGCAACCGAACCTTGATCCAGCGGCATGCAGCTTCCAAGCATGGCAGTTCGGAGTACTCCTCTGCGCCGCGGTCTCAGCCCCCAGACTGCACCAACCCCCAGGCTGCAGGCAGACCCCTGCCCTCAGACCAGCATGCAGTAAGTTTGGTTCTTTCTGTTCACCTTATGCTCCAGCTGAGTTTCCTTCCATCTATACAATGTTTTGTGTGTGTTCCCTGGTGCAGATGGGTGCGGAGCCTATGATGGGGGGGTTTATGCCGGATATCGCGCTCGGTGTGTCCGTCATGTCTCTGAGGGAGCAGCACATGGCCGACATGGACAGAGAAGGCCCTCACAGCCCCATGGGGCCTCCAGGTCACCATCTACCCCATGGACCCTGCTCTTCTGTGCGCCTCAGCCACGGTTATGGTCCTGGGCACGGCCATTCCTGCAAGAGGCACGCCCCAGAGCCCAAGCTGGAGGCACAGGTGGAGTTCCCTGACCTCTATGACTTTTCCTGCAGACCTACAACCCCCACCTCATCTCATCCTCTGCCCTCGTTCGGAGGACCGGACCTCTACAGCCACAGCTGCACGCAGTCAGGCTCCTACCCTCCTCCTTATGTTTCTGATTGTCAAACCCACGGCCACCTGCAGGGACGGACTGCTCCAGACCCACTACGACTGGATGTCCTTGGCATAAAATCTCAGAGACACGAGGGAGTCCTTTCCAGTCCCTCTGGAGCTCAGCCTAGGACTGGGCAGTTTCCAAAGGGACGACCAAATGAGACGGACCTTACCCACGGTTTGGGTCATTTCCGCTCCCCTAGTGGAAACATGGACAGCTATGATGAGAGGCACACTGGACCCAGAGATGCTCCAGAGGAGATGGTTCTAGGCGGAGACTCGTCAGGCCCAGGGCCCCTCCAACAGTCTCACAGGAATAGTGTTGGCGAAGAACTCCTCAGAGACCGCAGGTCCCCCAGCAAACCCGATTACCCCTATAAGAAATCTGCACTTTAACCCCAGTTCAGGAGCAGGGGTTGAGTTAGGAAAAGGGAAGAGAAAAAAAAAGAAGAGTATCTGTTCCGCAGAGCACTAAATGTAATATGTGTGAGTGAATAAGAGAACTGTTGGTATCTTCTGTCCTACCTCTATTACTGTGCTCCCATCACACAGTCGGAGTTTAAAGGGGAAATTTGGTCGACAATTCTGTCTGCTCAGTCCTGCTCCTTTACAGGATTAATGCAAATCTTCTCTCATGGTATAATCTCATGACTTGGATCAGCTGGAGTTCTGCAGAAGATGCTGTGGAAATCTGCAGAGCTCAGTTATAGGTTGATTAGTGAACCTCCGGGTTGAGATGGAAGGATAAATTCTCAGTTCATCTAACTGAGAAACAGCACACAGCCTGCGAATAAGTAATGCAATGAAATAATAGTGTTAGTATAGATGCACTCGGCTGGGTTCTGCATCTGCGTTTCTTTATGTAGCATGTCTGACAAACACGTTCTCCCTCCTGGCCCCTCACCTTTCATCTGAGACAGGAAGTAGGTCATCAGACTGCATCATTCCTTGGTAATGAGTGTGATAACAGTGCAGGATGTCAAGGCTAACTTTGTATCTCTGGCTTAGAGGAGGGGCCAGAGGACAGTGTCATTGCTGAGGTAGAGAGGAATCTGTGCGTGCTGTGATTGTCTTGCATTTAAAAAAAAAAGCCTGATTAGGAAGTTTGGTCAGTCGGAGAGGCTTTTAGGGACCTTCAGCTATTCTGGAGCAAGTAAGCTTGCAAGATACACCCAGATGTTTAGACAGTCTCAGTACCACAGATCGGAGTCTGAATGCAGCAGCCGCCATGTTGTTTAGCATCAAGTAACCACATTTAAAGCCTTAAAGAACGCTTCAAAAGTTCTCTTTATACCACTTTTATTCACATCAAAACATTTCCATAGCTCCGCTTTGATTACGTCACAGTTTGATCCGTCTTTTCTCTCCAGAACCTGCAGCTTCTCTGAGTGGATTTCACAGAACACATTTCAAAACCACATGTATATACCAGGACTTTTCCAAACCTCATCAGCGCTGGATGCCCATGCAGTGTTAATACAGGTCTAGATGTTGTTGGAGACCGACTGCAGCTGTAGCTCCAAAACCTGCAGGTCCACAACCAATCAGAGCCGACTGAAAACCTCACTGACCCCCCCCAACCCCGGTCTGTAGGGGCCCTTTTATTATAGACGAACAAATAAAGTCTCCATCTCAAACTAAACGTAACAGACGTTCAATAAAGGTTGGCCAGTGCTGGTTCAGGTCTCCGATGAGAAATTGTGTATATATTGAGTTGAGTCCAAATCATTCAGATAACTTCTTTTTAATAGCGTCTGTCACATTTTCGTGGTTGTTGAAGGTTTGTGTGTTTTTAACTGTAGTGAACAACACTGTGTGCTTGTCTTTGTCATGAAATCTCACCGAGGATGTTTGCTATAAAACAAAGATCGTGTTTTTTTTCTGTTTTTTTTCTCATGAAATGTTACACATTAAAGACATTTCTTTTAGCTGATGTGAAGAAGGTGTTTGCAGATCTGTAGATGTGAGGATCTTTCTTCTCTGCTTTGCATTGATAGAGCTGCTGAGCAGTCTTTTTTTTTTATGTATTCCAACAAGTTACTTCATGGGGAAAAATGCAAAAAAAAAAAAAAATCATATTCCCCATCTTCATGTTTGGTAGCTTTTAATAATTATTTTTCCTGGACTTTTTTCCGCTGAGTCCCAGTCGTTGTTTTGCTCTGTGCTGTGGAGGAGTCGGTGCCTTCCCCTGCCTGCGGCCGGGCTTTTATTGGAGGAGTGACTTTGATGTCTATGCAAGCTCTTTTCTACCAGCTTACCAGCATGCATTAGATAGTTCTTTGAAAAACCATGTAGCTCGTTTTGTGTACAGTGTTATTTAGCAGCTTTTTAAAAAACAAAACAAATCAACCATCAGCCGTGTGTTGAATTGAACAGGTACATTGTACTTGTATGCTATTGTTAGAAACATGTTTGTAGATTAATATTAAGTTGCATTTAGTTTCACTGAATCTATTTTTCTACTGTTGCCTCAGAAGGTGCATCACAGTGGTAAACTATGGCATTCTCAAAATAAACACTTTAATATTATCGTACTGTTTGTGCTCATGTTTCTGCCTTAAGGAAACACGTTTGAATATTGAGACAATTTTGGTAAAAATTTTCCACCAAAAATTAGTTTTCTTTCTGTTGATGACTTTCGGACAGCCAATCCTCTAAAAGTTAGTGTTCAGTGAGCCTCTTCCTGCAGCCATCGCCCTGAGAAAAGTTGGCTCCATGTCCTACTTTTAGTTGTTGATGTTCTTTGCATGATCGGCCCCTTTCAGGTCAGCCCAAAGAGTCCTAATTTGGTCCTGCTCTTGTTTTCTTCTTAAATTTTCAAGCAGTTCTTGGGGGATTTCCTGGCTTATTATAGGTTATCTTCCTGTTTCAGCGTCCAGTTCTACTTCTATCATTTTTTTAGAGATTGTTTTACATTTTTCCTTAGACATAGACTGATATACTGTAGATATGTTGGATTTGATGACTGTGAGCTGCCGAGTTCCTGCTGCAGCAATACACTCTTAAACCATGGCGCTTCCACTTCCATGCCTCTGTCTTATCCATCCATTTTCCATCACGCTTATCCCAAATGGGGTCGTAAGGGGTGCTGGTGCCTATCTCTAGGTTTCTATGGGCGAGAGGAAGGGTACGCCCGGGACAGGTCGTCAGACTCGCAGACAAACAGGGCAAACAACCATTCACACACACACATCTAAGGAGAGTTTAGAGTAGCCAATGAACATATCAATCATGTTTTTGGACTGTGGGAGGAAGCCAGAGTACCCGGAGAGAACCTACGATCTCTCAGGGAGAACATAACTCCATGCAGAAAGACCCCAGGCCAGGTATCACAAACTAAACCTTTTTGCTGCAAGGCAGCAGAGCTACCCACTGTGCCACGGAGCAGCACACCATCCTCTGTCTTATGTTTTGGTTCATATTATGGGTGGAGGATATTACCGCATGCTCTCAGTAGTTGGCCATATCAGTTTTAGGACTAAACATCAGTCATTTCACCAATATTTAAGGATTAAGTGAGGTCTATGCCTGCACCAGCAGTTTAACATGCACCAAACTCATGCACAAGACTGTTACCGAAGAGATGTTGAAATAGTAAAGGTGATTCCAGTTGTTTTATTTCCGTTTCTGAAATGAATACCAGAGCTGCTATTTGTAATGACTGCACCGAACAGGAGGAAGAAAACTACATAGTGTCGGTAACTAGTTCTAAGGAAAAAAACAAAGCAAAAAAACATTGGTTATCAGTTATCAGCCAGTTGAATCATGAAATATCAGCCAAAATTCCTACTTTTTGCATCCCAAGTTCAAACCAAACACATCCTCCTTTGTGGTGTCCATATAATTCTGTTTTTGACTCATTTATCCAAAGAACATTCCAGAGGTCATGGGCTGGCCTTCATGTTTTTTCCATTCTATGCACCTCTGATATGACAGTTCAACTTGTGCCGTGTCTGGAACTGCTGATGCTCCCACAATAACATTTTAGGCTTTGATGAATTGTTTTAGCTTCTTGTTTGCCCTTTTCAAGATGAACTTCCTTTGGCAGGCAGGTTGTTGCACAGAGTCTTAAATCTGCAGACTGCTTTGCCTACAGTGGATTCGCTGATTTCTAAATCTTTTGACACCTCTTTAAATCCCTCCCCAGACTCATAAACTGCTGCAATCTGCTCAGGCAGCAGTTTTGATCTCATCATGGTTTTAACTCTGACTCCCTTAGAACCGCCACAAACATTTCAAGTTTAAATAAAGGTTAAATCCCCTTAAAATTATGAATTTTTTTTTTTCCAATCATAGAGTTTGCTGGGATGTCTGTAATTTTAGGCATGTTAAGAGGGAGTAATTAGTAGAAGTTCCTAATGTATTGCATTATTTGTTTAAGAATATATATTTAATTTACTTCAAAAACTGATTACGGTAAAACATATACTTTAATGTGACTGAATACCATTATATCAAGGAGAACATGCATGGAGGGAAAACAAGTTACTTCTTACCAGCTTGTGAAGATGAAAAGCTAAGAGTGTCAAACCCGTTTCTTGTCTCAGCTTGTCCGATTGCTGCAGATGGAGGTCGCTGCAGCTCCTTCAGCCCCTTCATGGACTCCAGCTCATGTAGATGCATTTGCGGCTCCTGCAGCTTACTCTCCAAACTTCTCTTTGCACTTTCTCATGAGTTTAACAACAAAAGCAATTTTTCTTTTCAGCTCCCTTAAGTATAAATTATAAGAACACTGGAAACAGGTAGACATTTAATGTAAATTAAAATGGAAATAAAATGATCAATTATTCGTTTTAATTGCAAACTCCACTAAACATAAAGGAAAATCTGAGTCAATTTGCAGAAAATAAAACATTCATAATGATCACTATATTAGAAACATGGATCAATGTATGGGTAAAGAAGTGAATGTGAAAATGTTTGGAGTGAGTAACATTTTGATCTATTTAATCCAAATAAGCATAAAATGACCAATAAGTTTTTTAATGTTTCTACCAAAAAAATCAGCAGAACAATTAGAATAAAATCTGTTTGTCCCACTTTTTACCAATTATATTGAAAACACAGTGAATGGATTTATATTTCATGACATAACGGATCATTTACCAGTTTTAGTCTAAAATGGAAAACTTTAAAGTAACCAGTGCAATACAGGTGAATAAGGTCAGAAACATTAAATACATTTTAGAATGATTTACTGGAGCAAAACTGGGAAGAGGTGTATATTTGAGGATTTTCATACTGTAATATGATAAAAAAAAAAGAGCCCAATAACAAAATTTTTAAAAATAAACCTAAATATCAGCCATGGTTTATGAAGGGATAACTAAATCCCTGAAAAAAAAAAATATATACTAAATGGATTTTTTATCAAATAAGTAGTTAATGAGGCAGAAATTAATATACAAATTATAAAATCATACTAATATAAAAAGGATATGTAGGAAGGAATATAATCATATATTAAATAAAAACAATATTAGTCGGACAGAACAAATTAAATTATATTACTATAAAAAATATTCAACCTCAGTGCTCCATACAATATTTCATTAATAATAACAATTACAATATAAAGGATGTGGTTATCAGCTATAATCTTTTTTTTTATTATTAAACCTTGCAACAACAAAAAAAAATCCTGTGTTAGAATGGAATGATAATTTTAATGCAAAAAAACAAACAGTTCAAAGTTCCTTGGAGATGTTGAAGAAAATGGATATGATGCAAAGCAATCATCTACTGGTTTAAGTGAAATTGATATGAAAATAGTTTTAAAAAGTCATTTTGGGGATTTCAGAACCACTAACATCCATCTGTTATTCCACACTGGGACATTTCCTGATGCAATCACAATTGCTAAAGTTGTATAACTGGGGGATAGACATCACTTAACAAATTATAGACCTATTTCTTCACTCATGCATTTTTCCAAAAATGGCGAAAAATTATATAATCAACTAGTAAATGTCACTGATAAACATAAAGTACTCTCTGACAATTAATATGGATTTAGAACATTGACAGATTCAATTGAAGAAAATTTTAAGCTTCATAGAACATAAATTGTTTTTCTCTGGAATATACATAGATCTACATAGGATTTTTTTTTTAACACAATCAAATATGGCATGTTACTCAATACACTTTTCAATGGGATCAGGGGGTAAGCATTGCACTGGGGAAGAAATTATTCAATTATAATTTAAACAATTTGTGACTATGGTGTTTGTGGTATCCCCCAGGAGGCAGTATTAGGTTCAAAACTGGTTATAATTTATTTTAGGGGCGCAGCTAATGATGATTTTGCAAATCGATTAATCTGTCGATTATTTTTACAATTGATAGTCAAATAGCAAAAGGTTCCTTAAAGAAGACTTTTTTACAAAATTAAACCAGGAGAATCTAAAACTTTTCCACATAAGGAGTTCTGGAAACACATATTGAAAGACAAAAAAAAGTTTTTTATTTTATTTCTTTTTACAGTTTTGGTATAATTGCTGCTCAGGGTGGGTCGCTCTGTCAGCTAAAGGCATGTTTTAGAGTCTTGAAACTCCAGTTAATGATTAATTGATTACTAAATTAGTTGACTATTATTTCCATAATCGATGAATCGCGATTAATCCTATTAACTGTTTGAGCCCTACTCTATATGATACAACTCTGTAGAATTATCTATGATTTAATAGTACCAAAATGCACAAACTGAAAGTGGGGGTTTAAGAGAAACAATTGATTTTTAATCATAAGCATTATAAGCTCCTTGCTTCTGCCAATACACCCTTTTTCAGACTGTTTTAATTTATGCTATATGGACATATACTGTCTCTATTATATACTTGTAAGTCTAAAATAAACAAACTTGAATTGAAAGTAAAACCAGTTAGTTGATAAGTGCAATAACAATTCAAACAAAAGTATTAGTACAAGTGGATGGGGTTAGAATTGAAAGAGTACATGTAATACAAATTTATTTGGGTAATAACTGAAAATAAAATAAAATAAACTGGACATCTCATATAATGTACATCAAACATTGCAAATTAAAAAGGAGTATTTCTGTCTTAAAACACATTCTGGATCAGAAATCACTCTATATTCTCTATTGTTCACTGCTTCTTCCATATTTACTTTACTGTGCAGAGGTCTGGGGTCATACTGCAAATATACAATACAACCGCTATTCATAAAAGAGCCATAAGGATAATTTATAACTCTGGTTACAGAGATCACACAAATCCCATCCATCCATCTTCTCCCGCTTATTCCATCAGGGTCGCTGTGGGGTCTGGGCCAATCACCGGCAGTCTATGGGCAAGAGGGTAGGGTACACCAAGGACAGGTTGCCAGTCTGTCACCGGTGATATACAACCATATACACCTAAAGACCATTTAAAGTTACAAACTAACCTAACAGTCATGTTTTTGAACTGTAGAAGGAAGACGGAGCACCTGGAGAAAAGCCATGCATGCATGGGGAGAACATGCAAACTCAATGCAACACCAGGAATTGTGTCTTTTTGCTGCAAGGCAACAGTGCCACAAACTTCACCACCATGCAGCCAAATAATTTTCTGAAAATCAAAAACATTAAATGTGACTAACATAGTTTATTTGGAAACTGCATAAATCACATATGAAGCAATGCACAATTTACACACTGGAAAATTCACAAATGGTTTGTGTCACATAAATGTTTAGAAGGAGCACTAAAGAAGCTGTAAATTTAAAGAAGCTATGTATTATGTAAACATGTTAGCAAAATCTTTTATATGGAAATGGGGTATGGGGTTTTGAGTCCTCAAAAATATATTGTCAGCTGGTTGCAAAACTTTGTAAAACTGTTGTTCAAATAAAGTTAAAAATGATGATGACACTAACAAGACAGCTGCTGACAGAGGTGAGGATTTCTGCTGTCTGTCTGCAATCTGTACCTCACCCCACAGCGCCAGCTGGTGGAACTGTGATTATAATGGAACTTTATTGATCACACACTGGAGAAACTCTGCATCTTAACCCATTCCCTTAGGGAGCAGTGGGATACCACTGTGCAGCGCCTGAGAAGCAGTGTGGGTTTATGGGTCTTGCTCAGGGACCCACAGTGAAGGCTGTGGAGATCAAACTGGGTACTTGCAACCTTCTCAGAGCACAACTGCACAAGTGCACTGAGAAGCCACTAGGCAAACACCTCCCTCTAAAGGAATATATTTGTTTTATATGCACACAGGGATTTGGAAAATTTGTTTCTTTCTTTTTTTTTTGTGGTTTATTTTAGCAGTTAAATCAGAACACAGTTTCATATAAGTTTAATCTTAAAGTTTTGCCAGATTGTAGTTTTGTGCAAGACCATTTTAGACCAGCTAACCTCAAAAACACAGTATTAGTAAAACAAGATGGTCTAAAATCTTACATTTTTGTAAAAGTTTGGTTTGGGGTGATGAAGTGAACTAGTATTAGGAATGAGCATCGAAAGCATGAAAAAAATCAGTACAAAAAGGCAAAGAAACAGCTTAGAAACCAGACACCTGAAATCTATAAGTATATAAAGGACCTTCCAGCTAGTTCCAGGAAATCTTCAGCACCTGGTTTAATAAATAACTAAAGGGCAGCAAAAGAAATTTTTCCAGCCAACATATTTTTCAGTCATAAAGTAAAGAAATACTGTGCAAAAACTACTAATGGAAATGCTACAGCAGCCTAATTTGTGAGTGTTCCAGTTGGCGCCTTTTGAGCCAAGACATGAAGAAAAGATATATTTTCCCTATAAATAGCTACAAATGAAAAGGAATAAGGATTTAAGAAAAAATAACACTACATTTGTTTAAGGTCTGTTGTTGCAAAAAAAAAAAAAAACAACAACAAGAAACTAAACTGAATTTAATTCTACATAATTTACTATGAATAGACAAATATTTTCTATACTTGTGTCAGAAATTCAAGATAAAATGCTCTAAAATGTTTTATTTGGATTAGGATCTAAATTTAAACTTAAATATTTAGAGGTGGTTAATATAATGACATTTTAAAAAGCTCAACAATCTATTAAGGTAGGCCAACAAAAACGAAATCGTTTTTATTTAACTTTATTTATTATAATTGCAAACATAGGCTATTCCTCGATTCTCCAGCAGGGGGCGTTCTCGTTCCATGTAACGTCGATAAAAGTTACCCGCTGATTTACTCATGCATATACATTCATAAACAGGGTTTAGCTCTAAATAACTTGAATGTTGCGTTCTTTTTTTAAAAATGTTTTGTATCGTTTTGTTTTCTGTAAGCAGATAGCCAGACATGTTGACTTTATTTAAACCGTTTTATTCTTCATCTTGAAAGATTTTCTCATTCCTGAGCGTTCCGTGAAGGCAGCAGCTAGAGCCAGGAGCGCGTGCCGTCAGCTCAGAAGGCGCTGCTATTTCCGTGCAGTCAGTGAAGGCAGCATCAGGACCAAGGGTGTGTGCAGTCAGTCAAGCTGACAGAGGGAGTCAGGGAGAGGAAAACACCGGGAACATCTCTGCCTGGTTCAGCCGTGTCTGTTCTCGGTCTCCTCGGGTCTCCCTGCTCTCGGAGCGGATCATGGACTGTTCTCTGAGCTAGTTCTAGAGGAAAACACGGACCGTCCCCGGAGCTAAACCTGCAGGTTAGTTAGCAGTCTGAGCCTCATTCTCTCCAACAGCCTAACTGGTCTGATCAGTTAGTTTATCTGCAGGTTAGCATCTACCTGTTAGCTCCGTGTTTCTAACACTCAACAGGGATGATATTCTGAGGTTTCTATGGAATGTTTTCAGCCTGGGGGAGCTGTTAGCTTCTGTTAGCTGCTCAGGACTCAGGTTTAGCTAGCCTGCTAACGTTAGCAGTGGCTGTTAGCAGCACAGGGAAGGAGCGTGTTGGATTCAGACAAACTTCTTGTAACCTTTCATATCAGAGCGGGTCTGAGCAGAAAGCTCCTCCTGCGTGGGTCAGGAGTATTGGTTGTTACCACTCCTCCTACGTGGGCAGCCTCCCAGCACTGATTGTTGATGATCTCCTCTGATGTGGTTGGCTGTTACTGACTTCCTACCCCCTATCCCTGCAGGTGGAGTCTCCCATCATCTTCACCATCATCCTCAGATTTCCCTCCAGAGGAGACCAAGCAGCGCTGAAAGGATGCAGACTTTCCTGAGGGGGCGCAGGGTGGGCTACTGGCTCAGTGAGAAGAAGATGAAGAAGCTGAACTTCCAGGCCTTTGCTGATCTCTGCAGGTTTGTGGTTATTTTCTACTGGATGGTTGGTTTGGATCAGAACCCTGCTGTGGACCTTGGTTTCTGCAGACAGTATGTGGGAAGGTGGAAGGGTGCTGCTTCTGAAATCTATTGTTCTGCTTACAGCCTGTACTTGATTTTTAAATTGTACCTTTGATTAACTTTGATGTTGGTTTAAACTTTGAGCTGCTACCAAACCAGAAGGCACATTTCTGTAACTCTGTGCCAGAAATCATCTCTAACTCTGCACTGTTTATTATAAGAGGGAAAAAGGGAATAAGCCAGAAAAGCAAAGTTTTTCCAGTGATTGTAGTGAAGCACCGTGTTCACTATCTTTTGTTTTCTGTTTTTTATGCTTTATCAGTGTCCACTGTTATAAAGTGGTATTTTTAATGCTTTCTTTTCAAAAGTTTTCCACTATGATGAAGCATTTCTATCTCAACTTCTCACAAAATCAGGTTCTTAACAAAATATATTCCTATTTAAAATGATTTCTCCTGAAGTCAAGCTTAAATGTTTTCAAGGATTTCTGCATGCACCGAGCAGCTGTTGTAAAATCTTTATAGAGGAATACATAGGACGGTTTACGGCTCGTCTCGGTTCTTGTTGAGACTTGATGCCTTTGTGTTGTTTAGATTTGTTCCTATTCTCCAGCCTTGAGAGGAGGCAGCTCCTCTCTGTTAATGGACTCTGTTTTTTTGGACTGCTTCCAGGTCCAGCAGAGGTAAATGGTTTGCTGACTGGTACAAAGAGCGCTCTGATTTTCTTTAGAGAGATAAGTTAAACTGATTCACATTTCTCAGTATGCAGCTTGTTGAAAATAAGGAAGGGCTGCAGGGCATGGCAGCCCCTCCATTATCTTCCCTTATCTACAGTGGCAACACGGCTTAGGGGTTTTTGTTGCTTCAGTATTCCTGGAAAACCAGAGACGCACCTCTATTTAGCAAATTGATAATCTTTTTCATATCTTTTAGATGCTAGGTATACTGGGCAGTAGGTTGGGAAAGACGTCTGTATTCCCTGAGGGTTTCTCACCTTTGCTACGGCAGTGCTGCCTGGCCAGGCAACCTGATTGGGCCACTTCCGATTATCTGAACATATTCCACTAAAATCATTTTTAATCTCTTCATAAATGTCCGAGCAACACCTTCTACTTTCACCTCTCCTCTCGCAATCCTCAGGGACACACTAAACAATGTTAAACAGGGGAGTAAAGAAGGAGGTAACATTGTTCTATAATAGATCAGGGTCTGTCAGGATTGCCCTAGAAAACTGAAATGTTTCTGTGACCCGAACACAACCGCCGCCTCTTCTTCAGGTTCTTCTCTCCGAGCTCAAAGAATGGAGGAAGGAAGTGATTCAACTGATAATAATCTGATGCTTCTCTGGATGTCTTGTCTTCATTGGCGTCTGTTTTTTGTTTTTTTTCTTTTTTTTAAGGTGATAGCAGCTTAAGCCTTACATTCAAGCATGCAGACCATAAAACATGCATGTAATAAGCGTGTGCGTTCGTCCCTGTCTTCCCCTTGCCCGTAGCTAGGCCCGTCCTACAGCCTGGTCTGGTCACAGCCGCCTGCAGGCTGAAACGATGGCCTTCAGAGCAGATCTTTAATGAAAACATTGTTGTTGTTTTTTTTTGTTTTGTTTTTTTCCTGACTTAACAAGGTTACTGTGTTCTGCTTTAGCTGGGTTGATGACATGAAACAAGGTTACACCTGCACGTGTCAAATCACTACACTGGATGCAGATTACTGCTGCCATTCTTTCATGCATGTGTTTCTTAACTAATTATTTCATTTATTTTAAGTGGAAAGTTTAAGTGTTACATGTAGCATTACAATTAGATTTAGTTTAGTGAAATATACTGTATTTGCACCCAGGTTACTTCTGTTGTTCGTTTTTCTTTGGCTGACATGCATGTTTCAGGTCATCAAACTTATTTTCGCTTCTAAAGAAGATAGCCTGAATAAAAAACAACTCCATAGTAAATTTCACAGGCTTTCCAAAAAAAAGAAGACCATATTTGAAAAAAGTAATAAATCCCTAAACTCTTCCACCTTTAACGGCAATGGCTAGCAGTCTATAATTACAAGTTTTAGCCTTTTCTTCTCTGAAGACGAACCAATCTCTCTGAGCTGGATGAAGACCTCTCAGACATGCTGCTGGAAACAATCAAGGGATTTAGATTATTACAACCTGCCTCTCTCTCTTTTTTTTTTTTTTTACAAAAATTAACAAAATAAATATATAAATTTTCGCAAACACCCTTTAAGCGTGCTTTTGTTTGATTATGATTCGGAAAATAAAAACAACCAAAGTTCGATTCCTAGTCTGTTCACACAAACTTAGCCGTTAAAGTTTGACCTGGTTTTGAAATCATCAGAGGGATAAATTTTATTTATTTATTAAATAATAAAAAATTAAAGTTATGGCAAAGCATGATAAGGAAGTTTGAGTCTGGACTTTGACTAGGCCACTACAAGGTGTTTGTTTTTAGTCAACACAGCCTCTTAATTATTGTTGCATCATGAATGCTGATATTGAAGGCTTGCAGCGCTTTAGTGATTCTGTGTAAATGTTTGACCTCCTGGGTTAGACGGGGATTAGACTAAGTTTTGGAAGTCAAACGTTGCTCTATATTTACTTTAATGGCTGTCGGTGAGGTTAACTGTAGTAGAAAGAGCTTTGCAACCCTTTTCCAGACTGGTAGAGGTCTGTGACCTTGCGTCTCATCTCTTCTTGAATTTCATTGGAACATGGCATGCTGCTCTCTAATTGTTTTAGCTGACTTCATCTGGCTGTGTGCTCTCTTTCCCCTGGTTATCTTTGTTAGATGATAAAAATACTTTAAAGGATTCATCTGCAGCCTCTTAAACTATGCATCGGAGAGAAGGGCTCTGCATATCTGAGATGTATCCATTTCATATCTCAAGCCGAGGCCCGATTCGCTCCACATGAAAGCCGCCAGCTGCATTGTTGTGAAGCCGTGAACGGCCATGTTGCTGTTACCATGGGCCTGTAAAACCAGATGCGCCAGAATGGCTGAGCTGTAGCATGGCTGAACTCGTTCTGTTCCCCCTTGCTTGTTTCTCTCACCTGCAGCTGTGAGGCCATTCAGGTTTGTCCAAACAAACTCTCCTAACAGAAGTCACAATGCCTCAAAGATGCGTGCTTCTGATGGCTTCGGATTTAAAATTCAGGAGAGATAATATTTTTCCTTCTTCAATAAAAGTGATTTTTTTCAAAGTCTTTCCGGAGATTAATCATAATTTATATAACTTTATTTGTTGTCTGCTGACACAGCTTCAAACTGTACTTCTCAGAAGGGGAGAAATGAGATGTAAATCATTATGAACTTTTAAAAGAGGAAAATAATCGAGGGATAACAAATAATGGAAAAACATACTTGTTTTTCTCCAAAGGTCGTTATTTATTAAACAAAATAAAGCCATTGTGAACGAATGGGAACTCATTCTTCTTTTTAAGGAAATAAATGAATAGAATCAGTTTTGTTCTCTGTGTGTTTCATAATAATCCTGTCTTGTCTTCAGCTGAGGATTTCTTTAATGGATCTGATGAAACATAAAGTTAAAGCACCGATTTTAAAATTTGGGCCAACATCAATATCCGATAATAATTTCTATTATTTTCAATAAACTATATTTACCCATTTTGCATCCTATACACATTCTTACCCTTTGGACACAAGACCCACTGCATATAACCATGGGATCTTAATATCGGCCTAGTTATTTTTTTGTTTTGTTTTTTATATCGGACCGGTCCTGATAGGTTTCAGAATGACCAACATTGACAGATGCTGATGCTAACCATACATGTTGTATCCCTATATTGAGGCTCTAAGCTGCTTGCCATGAGAGCATGATAATATTTAGTGGGCTATGATTCGAAAATAATGCTGAAGTTAATCAATTTCTTTTCTTTTTGAAGAAAACTGACTTTGTGTTTTCTTTTTTTTCAGGAAAAGAGGAATAGAAGTCGTACAGGTACGTGATTTTTATGGCTTTAATTCCTAATTGGTTTGGTAAACAGAAAATATTTAAGTACTAATATTTATGAGCCTTAGAGACCAGCTGAACCTGATGAATTAGGGTAATTAAATGCTAAAGAAAACAAAAGGTTGTCTCAGATTCGACATGACGACCATGTCTTTCTGAGTTGATATTTGCTGCAGCCTCCTGCATGCCCAGTGCAACTGTCTGTCTGTTTGGACAGTTTTTGCCTCATTATCTCACGCCTCACTTCCCTGTCTTTTCTGAGGCTGTATGTCAGACTGTGCTGTTCATTGTTGAAGCAGCTCCTGCTAAGGGATGCGTGTTCAGGTGTGTGTTTGTGGGTTGAAATCGTGATCATACCTGGACATTCAGTCATAAAGTGTGAGCACAGTGGTTGTGACCTACGGTTTTACATTTCTGGACGTGTTAAAAGGACTGATGCTTTGCATCATTAATATTCAGTAGATAAACTTAAGCCAAAGGAAAGGAAAAAGGTGACATTTTATTGTTCGTTATGAATGAATAGAGAGCAGAGGTCTGATAACTGTAATTTATTGGAGCTCTGTGTAGAAAGGCACGATTCAGTAGAACTAGAGCCCTGACTGTGTCATTCTTTGACTGTTTCTTTTCCTCCTGGAGGAGTTGGGAGTTTATTGCATCTTTTTTTTTTTTTTTTTTTTTATTCCCCCGAAAATATATATATTTTTCCTTCTCACTGCACTGCTGGTATAAAAAGACTCCAAAAGAGGCTTGTTCTGGGAACAGATCCAGAGTAAGCAGGGATTTGTGTTCCCCTATGGACTGAGGTCCTTCTGGGATGGAACAGCAAAGCTTGGACGCCCTCAGGATGAGGGACTGACATTATTTCTACCTGATGTCCACTGAGTCTTCTGCTCCAGTGGGTTTTTATTTACACCAATCAAAGCTGCACATTTAGTCCAATCTTATCCTTCATTACAGTTTAAATGTGTTCAAAATCGAAGCTTCTCTGATGCAGCATTTTAGTGGGTTGTGATGTGTTTCTTATATACCGTATATATATTTTCACACAATGAGTAAATCAGTTTATATTTGGGAAAATATTTCTTACTTGTAACTATGTGCTGCCTGGATACAAGTCTTACACCATATAGGCTGTTTAGATGACTTTGAATGACTCTTCTATTTTCTAAGTGACCCAACCACATGCTAAACGCAATGTATGGGGGTGGATGAGTCATGCTGTGGGGATGCTTTTTTACGGTAATATCCAAAAGGAACTGTCATAGAATCCACAAGTAGAGGATTAAGAAATGACAAACCCCGTACCGAATCATCTTGTGGGGTGCAGAGGACCTAGTGTTTCCTTGCTTACATGATCTTCTGCAGGATGGCTAGACTTGACCTTAAGCCTGGTTTATGCTAGAAGCGTCCGTGCAGTCATATGTGATTTTTAGCATCCATGCACCATTTGCATTGCCTGATTTTGGGTGCAGAAAAACAATAGATTGTTTAAAAAAAAAAAAAAAAAGCATTGAACACAGTTGTGTCTTATTGTCACAGTTGGATGACATGAAGAGGCTTTAAAAAGCTCTACATGTTGCATAGTTATATTTATAAGCCTGCAGTCTGTGACTCAGCCAGAATATTGGGGACAGCCGGGGAAAATCGCATAGAGTATAAACGCTGTTCATCAAGCATAACCCAGCCTTTAGAGATAAGGCGAGGAGCTGCTGCCCCTGTGCATCCAAAGCATTTAGTTTAGGTGGTTTGATCATGTGAAGAAGATACACTCTGGGCGCCTTTCTGCAGAGATCCACAAAAACAGAGGTGTCCTCTCGGCAAACTTTTACTGAAGACTGCGGCTCTGCTTTCAGTGACCGTCTTTGTGTTTCAGTAAGGCGTGACTTTCCCACCATCCATCTGGATTGAGGTTCGGTGTTAAAACGCAGAAGTCCAGGGTCTTATTCTCACAAAAAGCGGTTGATTTGGAGCCAGGCTTGGTTAGTTTTTTTTTTAGTCAGCGTTTATTTGATCCTTTCAGATTGCACGGCGTCTGTGTTGACGACCTTCAGAGGAAGCTGGTAGAAGATGATTTGTCTCTTTCAGGCTAATCAGCTGGCCTTGTCCCTGGAAAGAGACAGAGCAGCTGACCCTGGCGGTGACAGCTCGACCCTGGACATCTGACGATAAGCAAACCCTGGAAAAATACATCCTTAATGCAGCTCCTTTTCTTTTTATACTTTAGATATTTACCAAATCAGTGAGCTGTTAACTGTTTTGCAATATAGAATTTTTTTTTACCAATCATTAAGTCCTAAAGAATGTTGCTTAGTGTTTGGTTTATTTTCTTAAAAGCTAATAAACTCAGTTTGTTGCTTTTAGAGTTTTTGTCCTGAGCAAGCCATTTTAAGTATTTATAAAGGAAGTAATCAACGGAATCAGAAATAAACTTAAAAAATTTTTTAGTTGGTGTCCTTAACTTGACTGAATCAGGAAGGGATCGATTTGCTATGCAGATCATTTACCTCTGCGCTGGTAATATTAACCACCACAGAGGGTTTTGTTGGCTGTGGTCATAGCCTCACCCTGTTGGACAAGTCTTTGCCAAAAACGGGATCCCCGGGGAGCTCATTGTGTGTTTCCATTTCCAGTGTGGGAAAGCCGTCCTCTCATTGCCCCTCAGGACTGACACGTGGAAAAAGAAAAAAAAAACATTCTGGATGACTATCGGAAACAATCCAAAGCCCTCCATCTTCCTTCTGCTCTCTCCTCACATTTGCATCCCATTTATTTACTGACCCTGCAGCTCATGGATCCATCCCTCATGCGCTCTACATATCAGCCAGCCTGTTTTTTTGGAACTGATGAGATTAAATGCGGAGGCTTTGATCCAATATTCACTCCGAGGTCTATTCTTTGTTTCAGTAAACCCATGGAGGTGGCCTCGTTACGCTCTGGGTGTTTGGAAATGTGTGGAAGCTGAAAACTAAAGCAACATATCAACAAATAATCTGTTGCCATGTTCTCTGACTCATTAAAAAAATCTGGGGCTGTTTTTGTGGCTTCTGGGATGTTTTTAATTGGGAATCAGGCGTTAATGACATTTAATAGGGCTGTAAAATATATTAGATTCAAAGTACCCTCTTATGGATCTATTCATCCCAAACGTAAAAGATTTAGATATAAGACAATATCGCAAGAATGCAGTATTTTAAGGGCCACAAAAAAAGCAAATGATTAACTTTAGCAATTATTTAAATAGCATCAACCTAAAAAATGTGTGGTGATGCTTGCAGGCATATTGATTTCATTAAGGTTTAATGAAGAACCCAGAACACAACAAGACGGTTCTAATATCAGCCCACTTTTAAGTATTAGATCTGTACCAATATGTAAGAAAATGACTAAAATCTGTGGTAGGATCTTTGCAACAGATTTATTTGTAAAATTCTGCTTCTAAATATTCCACAGTCCATTAACGGAGTTTAGCATTAGATCAGTTTGGTGATGCTCCCTTCCTGTTCCAACAATGCGCAAGGATGAACAAGTTTGGTGAGAAAAAACGAAAAAAGAAAACTGGTCTGCATTGAGTCCCGAGAGCAACGTGATGGAGAGTTGTATATATTACGGCTGCAACTAACCATTATTTTGCAACTTGATTAATCTGTCGATTATTTTTCCCATTAATTGATTGATCGCACAGCAAAAGGTTCCTTAACCCTTAAAAGCCTGATCCAAGAATAAAACAAAACAGAAAATAATTTTTTTTTGTTTGAATTCCTTATTCACCCTTTTAACAAAATATGTAAAAAGAAAAAAAAAGAAATACATTTTTGATATTAATAATTTATTACTATGTGATAAGTCAAGATTAATTTTTGTGTAGTCTTCTACTGGCTGTTATCAGGTATATCTGATTGTGTACAATAGGATTTTGAGCAAAGTTTTTACCATTAAATTATGCAAAAGGTGTCAGACGCAAAACATTTCAGAAACCGTATGTATCAAATACGATACATTTGGCATTATAGGGTTAAAGAAGACTTTTTGCTAAATTAAACCAAGTGAAAATAAAGCTTTTCCACTTGAGGAGTTCTGGATAGAGCATGTTGACAGACTAAAAATATTATCTTAAATGCAAAATGTGTACAGATTTTTATTTTATTTTATTTTTTTCACAATTTTGGTATAATTGCTGCTCTAAGTTGGTAGTTCTGTCAGCTAAAGGCATATTTTACACTCTCTTTACTCTAGTTAACGATTAATCGATTACTAAAATGATTGACGATTATTTCAATAATTGGTTAATCGTGATTAATCCTATCAATTGTTTCAGTCCTAAAAATAAATATATATATATATATATATATATATATACTGTTTGAAAAGAATGAGCTGGTTGAAAGCCAACCTAGATAATGAGCTAAGTTCATTTTTCACATGTTGGCAGGTGATTCATAATATTGACCCTCTATTAATGATGGTTTTAGGAAACGGTAGGTTAATCATTATCTCCTGGTGGAGCAGAACCTGCCAGAGCGTCAGACTTCATCCTTTTTATCATGAGCCTCAGCTACATCATCGTCACAGAGCGCAGTCTTCCTGCTGGACTGTGGGGTGTTGCAGAGATCCCATTAGCCTAATGAGATCCTACCTCGACCTTCCTGGAGGATTTTGCCCTGAGGGGAAAACTGCTCCTGTTGGTCTCACTGACCTTGTGTTTCGTGCAAAGGGAGGGGCTTCAGGTGTTTCTATTTCAAATGATGAACAGGATAAATAATTCATGGCATTTTGTCTGCAAACAGGTGTGTAAACAAAGCGTTGATTTTTAAATGATGTTGGATTCATCCCTACCAACAGCAGGGTTGTATATTCTGATCCACAGTTGTCCTCTGGGTTTATCTCGGCCCCACAGCGATGCTTCATAAAAGCTGGAAATACATCAAGCCCTGACCTCCCCTCTGCTGTTTTCAGTCCTGTCCGTCAGAATCTAGGCCCAACTCTGGCTT